CGGGGATATCCTCTAAATTGAGCTTTGTTTTGCTTATCGAAAAATTTGTTTTTCTTTTTCTCGTCGGTTCCCGTCTTGGATGACTTCGGATTAAAATTGAAATCGGGAACTGACATGGCTTCTTCGGCAATGATATGTTGTTGAGCTCGGGCAAGAAATTCTTGAAAGGTGTTCGGCTTATTCTGGCATAATGTCCAGCAAAAAATCGAGTTTGGTTTCAACCCGGCGATGGCCATAACAAGCAGAGTTTCAGGATGACATGGCTCCATATTCTGAACTCGGTCGTCGAATCGAGCAATATAATCCTTGACGCTTTCATCGTCTTTTTGAGTCACGTTTGCAAGGGATTCTTTCGGAATCAGACAAACTTGGGCCCCGATGAAATGAGATCGAAAAGTCGACCTCAACTGTTGCCACTTCCAAATAGAATGAGGAGGAAGAGAGTGGTACCATTTTTTAGCCCGAGGCCCTAGCGTAAGGGAAAACATACGGCACCGAAGTGCGTCTGAGGCCCCAAGCAGGTCCATCCATGATGTGTAATGACCGAGGTGTGAGTCAGGATCCGAGGACCCATCGTATAATCCGATCTGAGGAACTTTGACTTTTCCAGGTACAGGTTCCGAAGTGAGCTCTGGCGTGAGAGGGGAATCGGCTTCCAGATATACTTGCGCCGAGGTTGAAGCCCGTCGAGGAGAATCTTCGGGCTTCCTTTGCCGACATTCCAATTCGGCGATCCTTCATCGCAACGTTTCAAGTTTGTAAGATTCTTGACGAGCTCAGTTTCTTTCAATGTGTTGCCGAAGGTCAGTCTGCACTGGGTTGGAAGGAATTTGACGTCGCGTTCGAGTTGGCAAACGCCGTGAATGTCCGGGCTGACTCTCGGCGATTTCTTCACGAGGAATCGCGAGGGGAGTACGTCCAACGTCAGCACGACGTGTGGTTTGTTCTGGAGGCGGCTGCGACGTTCGACTGCGGGGTTGAGACGTGGCGTGAGAAGTGGTTCTTCTGCCGTCTTGTCACGCCGGTGGAATCTGCGGATTAGCAAGAGTCGTGGGTATTATGGAATGTCCTGGTGCAGTCGTTGATGTTCCGGGGATAGTTTGAGCCATCAAAGCGGCGAACCCACGTGCAAACTCCAGATTTTGGAACAGAACATTATAATCTGGTATATTGGGGGCTGCTACGTGTCGTCTGGCGGATTGAGCGGCACTGCGACTGTGGCCATCTCGCGATGTGTGTCCACGATGATCTGAATGGGACATGGTTGCAGCGATTGATGTGGGTTGCAAGACAAGAATCGGAGATTAGCCTCAAATAACTTATGAGGCCCCCCTTCCTCTAGCGCCAAACAGTTGTTATGCGATTATTAACAACGATATAGTGGGAGTTTAGTTTATTATTAGTGATGATTTGAGCGTAAAACATGTATGAAATGCTCAACAATGGCCCCGGTCCGAGGTGGACCGAGGTGAAAAGCTTCTATGAGCTGTTTCGTGTTTCATTATGAAGAAGTTCGGTTCAGGAATCGAATCCTGTACAAATGTTATGAACTCGCTATTTATAGCAACTTTTTGAGATACATTTCGGGATTCGTGCGTTGCTTTTTCTATAAAGCTACTTTTTGGTGGGCGGCAGGATCAGTGGGTCCCAGTTGAATGATAGCAGATCTCGTAGTTTGTGAGAATGGGGCGTAGGTGCCTTGTCACCTGCTTTAGGAGGTGACAACCTCGGTTCGTGTTGATCTCGGTAGAGATGACCTCGGTTTGACGATGGTCATTTCGGTCTTCTATGGTCATACCGTGTTCGTCCTGCGAACCGGGGTAACGTCGGACTAGGTCGGTGTAAGTGTTATATTGCCTGAGACACTGTTCAAGGCTCTTAATAATGGATTACCGAGTCGAATGATAACAATCTAGATTAAGAAATTTTCAAACTTTGATTTATTTCCTTTTTATTTTTCATATCGTTGATTTTTTTTCTTATTAAGTATCAATTCCATCACTTTATTAAAAACATGAAAACCTTTTGTATATTATTCATTTTGTATTTATAATATTAATTTAACCTTTATTTTACGAGCTTTGACTCCACACTCATATATGCATAAAAAAAATATATTTTTTAAAGTATTATTAAGTTGTTTAATAGTACAGCTAGAATGAAATAAAATTTACTATGCAACAATTATTTATAAGAATTAGTCTCAAGTTATTCAAACAATATACTATAAATGTATATATAATGAAATGTATTAATAAGTAAGTATCTCTCATTGGATTTAAGAATTTAGTGATAAGAAAAATAAAAATATTAGCAAATATTAATTTCACTGATTAAGTATAATTGATATTAAAATGGCAAACTAACTACTCATTTGTCGAACCGACAAGTAAATTATCAGACATAAGTAAATATTTCTGATCTTAGAATTCTATTTAAGTTCCAGCGATAGCAGTTTCAACTTATGGTTTCGTATACCCCGACCATAAACAAGAGTTAGGGGTTGCCTTTATCGCATGTTGACCTTCTCATAAAGAAACAGTTTTTAGTCACGACCAATTATATGTTGTTGTTTTACGTGTAAGTAGTACTATAAAGTGGTTTTGAAAATATTATTTTGCAGGGACGACGAGTTGTCAAGTATCAAACTAATAATGTTGTATACAAGAAAATTTTAATAATATATAAATTTTTCATTACGAACATTTTATTATTTTGACAAATTCTCTAATATTATAGCTCTTTTATAACATTTTCTAAAATATATATTGTCCGTGCATCGCACGAGTTCGGGTTATTCACTAGTCCGTTGCAAAAATTGGTAATTAATGCACCAAATTCTGGTTGTGTTTTCAAAGTTACGAAAGGATAAACTTAAATTTTACACACATATGACATATATCTTTTTTATTTTATAATTAAAAATCATCAGTTATACATTAAGGTGTCGTAAAAATAGTATATAATTGTCATCATTAAAATAATAATTTCTTAAAGTAATGAGCCGTACCTCACCTACGAATGGGCTTATAATTGAGAACAAGAGCAAAATCTTAAAAGCCTAAAGACCCAGATTTTACTAACAAATATTTCCAACGCCAGCTGATTTTTTTCATTAAAGAAAATATTTTGGGTATTAGAGTAGGACACAAAAATCTTTTTTCATAGATAAAAAATATGTTCCAGTTGTACCAAAAATAAAAATAAAAAAATGTAACCAGATCATTTTATGTATCAATTACATTAGATAACAAAAGATTCAGAAAAATTGAAAACAAATATGGTAAATGGCATATATAAAGAATTATTTTTTATCAAAATATATATATATATATATGTATATAATTTACATTGAATATTTGTCCATAAAATTATAATATTTTGGGTGATATTTTTTATTTAATTTAGAGTCGAAATTCGAAATAAATTCCAAAAAACAAGTGAAATAAGAAAAAAAAAAACAGTTGACAAGGAGAATTTAACTCGAACTGTTTCCAAAAAGAATGAGGGAGATGCTATAGTCCCGTTACGAAATTATTCTGTCGAATTTTGTAATCGTTAGATCAACTATACCCGACAGTTGCATGATGATTCAACAGTTACAAACCCCGACGAAATGATTCCGTAACGAAGACTGTAGCATTTTCCAATAAAAAAGTGCGCAAAGCTTTATGAAAATAAACGGTTAGCCACACGACAAATATTAGCGGAAGCTTTGGAACTAACGAGCAACTTGATAAAAACTAATCATTATAAAAGATGCAATGAAATAAAGTGAAAATTGAAAGAGGTTCTTAAGATCACATGAAAGATATCTCACAAATCACAATGATGGTTGCTGCAAATATCAATTAATAAGTAGTTTAACTCGAAATTAACCCAAAAAAAAAGTAGCTTAACATGAAATTAATTGTATTATGTGCCCAACAATTTATGATACATGATAAATTAAGGCACCTTCTTTTTTTATTTTGTAACTCATATTTTTAATATTAAATTTATTCGATGACCTTAAATAGTTTATTTATGGATAAAATAAATAAATAAATTATAAATGATGTCAAAAAAAAAAAAATCTAGATAAATGAAAGTTCATATTTCAATCAGGGGTAGGATGATATTTTAGTTTATTTGACATCTAAATAGCGATTACATATATATCACACAAATCATCAAAAGATTTTATAAAATTATGTGAAAAAAAATGTGTTTTTCCCGGGCTGGACTGGACTCTCCCCATAAAGTCGGGTCAGGGTGGACAAAAACATGGCCCTGGACCGACCCGTTAGAAATTCGAGTCGGGCCTGGGTCGTGGTCAATGGGTTTGATCGGACTGAGTCCGGGCCGACGAGTCGGGTGGCCTGTGGCCACGTCTAGGCCCATTATTTAGAAAAATGAAAAGAGTAGGACCCGTGTATTTATATATTATTTATGGTAGAATCTTCATGTAATTTAAATGTATTGATGAATGTATGAAATTGTTTAAATGAATATATATTTTATGAAATTATGATGCGGATGAAAAAAGTTAAAGATAGGTGCGAGTCACAACAATACTCTTTTTTTTTTTTTTTTTGGTAAATAAATTAGGTTTAGTCATCCTAAATGCATATATATCACAAAGCTATATGCTAAGAATATACCCAATGCATGCATGTATGATAGTCGCATCATTGATATACGTATTTCACACTCACACACACTAGTTTTACTCTACCAAGATAACTAACTATGTTGTCGTATTCTGAGTTTGTGAAAATGGCTTTGAGAAAAGATTAAGAATTTGTCTCTTCTAAGTTGGTGAAAGATAAAAAAACTCAAGTCGTACTTTGAGAAAAGATTAGCCAAAAAGTGAAAAAGTAAGAATAATGGTCTTTGGTATGATCCAATGGACAAAATAACCTCGCTAGTTCACGCCTATAAATAATCTCTCCTACTTACCAACCCAACACCACACCACACAATTCAATTAAGCTATAACCCTTAGTTACTTAGTAGTCATGGCAAATACAATCTCCCTATCCTTGTTTGTAATAGCAATAGCAATATTCTTCTTCTCGAACCTATTCCCACACACAAACGCTTGGGATCCGTTAGCAAACCGATTCCACTACGACAATGCATCCCTCGAAAAAGCTTCGAAAGACTATGGAAACATAGTTCATCTCATACCAAATTCCGTTTTTGGCCCTAAGTGTGTGAGGGACATTCAGAGTCTGATTTGCCGAAAATATAACAACTATGCTCATGAAACAAACAAGACCTTCGCCATAAGAGCTTGCGGCCATTCCACGTGGGGACAATCCCAAGTCCTTCATGGCATATCCATAAATGTCACCTCTCTCAACACAACGCACGAGACGAGGATCAAGATTTTTAAGGATCCCATATATGGCTTCACTGCGCATGTTGGGGCCGAGCAGCAGTGGCTAGACGTGCTGTGGACCACGCTTAAGTACAATCTCACGCCCGTCGCGTGGACGGATTACCTCAAAGAAAGCGTGGGAGGGACACTTTCTAATGCGGGCATAAGCGGACAAGCATCCAAATACGGGCCCCAGATCTCGAATGTTTACTCTCTTTCTGTCGTCACTGGTAAAAATTTTCCCTCACTCTTGATTCAAGTTACCATAATTAGAAAACTATCTTTATATGTACACATGCATTGATATTGATACATTACCTTCATTTGTATTGTTGGGTAGGTAAAGGGGAGTACAAAGATTGCTCACCATATCAGAACTCGGACCTTTTCTACGGACTTCTAGGCGGCCTTGGACAATTTGGAGTCATTACATCTGCACAAATTCGACTAATAAAAGCACCAACAAGGGTATGATCACTTGTGATCCAACTTTTAATTTCTAGCTAGCTAGTATCAATTCATCGTACAATTATAATTGACTTCTTTTTTCTTACAATAATTGTTATCTCTATACCTTTGTTGGATTTTTTATTATTACAGGCAATCGCGACGAGATTTCTTTATAGTAACTTCTCTCAGTTTACACATGATCAAGAATATCTTATTTCAACCAATCTTCCAAACTACACAGAAGGTTTCATTATCGTAAATAACATTATACCCAGCGGCTGGATAACTTCCAATTCTTCAGTCAATGTGTCCGACGTTGATGGCTTGTTGAAAAAATATAATGTCTTATATGCAATTGAACTTGCAATTTATTACGACGATCAGACTGTCCACACCGTCAATAGGGTACTATATTACTTTACTTGTCATCATCAAATATTTGATGCATTAATTCTTGTTACAAGGAAATTAAGAATAAGCTTAAAACAAAATAGATTAACTAATCAGGACTAAAAAGTAAACATAACATCAGATATTTTTATTATATATACAATATGAATTCATAACTCGTTAGTAATTCATTCATATTTTTCCTCTCATTTCAACAGCTATTCCAGATGTTGATTGGCAAGTTGAAGTTCATCCCTAAGTTCATATTTTCAGAGGATGTGTCCTATTTTGATTTCCTTTACAGAGTTGGAGACTTGGAACCTGTGGACAAAGGATCATCGCTAGCTCATCCATGGCTCGTTATACTTACAGGAGCATCCCAAAAGGAGAAGTTAAATAAATATGTCTTGGCCGGCCTGCTTCCGACCATTAGCCAAGCACCTACCATCCCTATTTACTACCCACTTAATGCAACAAAGTAGTTTACAATTCATAAATTCTTCATATAAATTAACTAACAAAGTAGTTTACAATTCATAAATTCTTCATATAAATTACCTATATTGTATTACATGAAAATTCAATTATGTGCAGATGGAGCGATAAAACCTCTGCAGTCTTACCCAATGAGGAGATATTCTATGCTTTAAGCCTACTTCATAGGAGTGAGCCTGCTAATTACAAGGTCTTTGATGATTTCAACCAAAAGGTTTTGAGCGTCTGCAAAGAAACGGGTATCAAGTACAAGAGGTACCTGGCTCACTATGACAACCAGTCACAGTGGATTGACCATTTTGGACCCAAATGGGAAACCTTTCGTCAAAATAAAATGAAGTTTGATCCAAAATATATGTTGTCTCCAAGCTTAAATATTTTCAAGTAGTCATGTTACAAATGCTCTACAATAATTGCCCATTGGGCATAGAATAAAGAGCATATTGTGTTACAGTAATTTTATCATAAATTGAATCACTCATGGTGTTTGGGTAAATTTTAATATTTTTCCCTTTTGTATTGTTGGTCCCAATATATGATCCTTATTTGAAGTTACGAAGGTTTTACTTCACTCAAAATCTATCACCTTTGTTGATGTATGTTTGCGCCAACGGGGCTATTAAAGCGATGACTTCGTTATTTTAAAGTATTTATATGATTTTTAGAGCTGATTTTAACATGGAGGTAAGATATATAGTTTGTATCTATCGACGTATTAAGGAGCCTGCACCGACGACTTTTATTGATGGTATGGGACGCTTTCCGAGCATCTTTGTATACAAAGCCTTTAGAAGACTGGAAGAATAAAAAAAAAATAGTGGACAGCTTAAGGAGAGAGACTACAACAGAGCTTCTTCTATTTAGGGGGTATTTTATGATGTATTTGTCGATAATCTTCAAGGACCCCTTCTTCTAAAAAATGGGAGGTCACTAAAATTTTATTTATTCAATACACGTAGTTGCTTCTGACTGGATGCATGGTGACATGTATTCTACAACTTGATCAAGCGACTTATCTCTTTGGGCGGTGGTAATTGGTTTAGGGCGATAATGTTGTGTTATGTGAGAAAAGTCGTCCATGTGCACATTAAAATCTATTGAAAATAAATCCTAACACAACAAAATCTATTGTTAGGATTAAGACTTACGGTTTAAAAACTTTACCGACTCTGAGACATTTTTTATTTCCGTTGATGGAGATCGTCTAAAGCTCAGAGTTCGTTGGGTTCTCAGACTAGGCATCACCATCACCACGTTGCATTTTCATATGTTTCAGTCACATTTTGCATCACCATCGGGCTTAACAAGACTGCTATGGGACCGCTCGCGGACTTCTGCAGGTGGTTCAGACTCACCACGGCTCATCTGGTCCATGGACGGCTCACGTGGGGTCCGCTGATGGGCTGGTGGCCGAGGCTGCACGGATTAATGTGCTGGTGGTTGAGAAATCTCGCGCGTTGGATGATGATGGCTGTGATATCTCACGCGTTGAGCACTGGTCGCGTTGTCAGGTCACGCTGCTGCGTAGTCTCGCGCGGTCGCACTACTTACGGGCGCTGGAGTACTGAGGGAAAAGTGGGAACACGTGAAGCGCGCTGGCGGGTCGCGCGGAGAATGCGAGGCGTGCGAACGGGACGCGGTGTTAGTGTTATGTACTAAAAGCTTGACTTTGGATGATATTATACTTTTACCCTTTATGATGAGAAATATGTTAGATTAAACAAGTTCTACGTTATGTTGTTTTGCAATTAGATAGGTGGGTCATCGTCGGGCGAACCGAAGATCATTCTATCAGTTACTTGGGAAACAAGAATAGTGGTTAACAACCTAGATGGAAACGAACACCTTATCCGAATGGTTGTAATGTCAACGGTACAATTTGTCTTGACTGATTAGTTGCACTAGTACATTTATGTATTAAAGTTGGTCCAGCTTCAGGATATATTTTTTGTGAAAACATGTCATATAATATTTGTACATGTTTGAATTATCTATGTTTCTTTTATGCTTGTGTGTTTTTCTGAACTTGAACTTGCTTCTGCATGTTAGACTTGTGTATCAGTTGTCAGATTTCAGACTCGTATTTCAGTTGTCAGATTATGTTAGATTTTCAGAATATGCATGTTTTATCCGGTATTATTTATGGCCTTAATTCTAGAATAAATTTACTTGGTCGCATGCATGTTAGATTAAAGATATAGAGATAAAGATTAAAGTTTAGTAGCATCCCGCAAATTAAAGTTACAGTATTTTCGAAAAAAAATTATATGAGTTTCGAAAATTAAATCATCGCTTTCTATTTATAGCGCGACAATTTTACTCTCGCGTCACACGGGACTCCATCACCTGAAAAATTGGGTAGTGGGAAGGCGTGAGCACAAAGGAATCAACGGTGCTCCACCGGGACCGGCCCTAAATAGTCATCACATTTAATGTCAAATCATGGAATCGACATAAGCATAAATAAACTGGCAAACTATGGGACTAACGGTAAACCGGTACTCATGTGCACACTCTGGGGGTCCCCTCCCACAGAATCCAGGCTAGGCATCGCCATTTATCTGGACGCTAGACTTAGGCTGGGCATTGCCCACTCATCTAAGTCATAACTGACATCTGACATCTTGACCAAGACGGGATCACTCATCTGTCTCGATCCTTCAATTTACTTACAAAGATACCTCAAACAGTATAAGCAATTAAAAGCAAGCCTCCGACGATCCCTGGCATCCACACGATGTCGTCCTCCGCCACCTGCGTGATTTCGACTTCCTCATGATGTGTTGTTCTCGGTCATTCCGAATCCATCAGATTCAAATAATTTTAAGCGCTAAGTTTTCTAAGTCAACCTTTAGATTCGTTGCGCATAGGTTTACGTTTGCTATTTAATTCGTGACTTGTGCATAACGAGATCCTCATCGATCCCAACAGGCCTTACAAGAATGATTTAATAAAATAATAAACTATACGGCATCCCGTGGTTCCAATAAATTATTACAATCATTCTACAACTCAAAAATCTCCAACATGTCCGAGGCTTACAAACACTCATAAAAGATAAATACATACATATGAGTCGTAATAGTCGGACACAAGAATTCCTAGAAACAAGATATATTTATAATTCTAATCTATTGGGCACTAAGCCCAGACACAATGAATCATGAATGTTCACATAAGATCTAATATGAATTGTGCACAAAGATTGAAGTAGTCGAGCTTTGATACCAGTTGCGGAATCTAAAATTTAGATTAAAGACTTACGGCTTAAAAAGTTGCAGTCTATGAGATGCCTTACATAGACTATGGGCCTTGACGAATGATTTTGACTCTCTGCGAGTTCTCGTCTCCTCGCCTTGCCATGTCGCCAGTCGCTGGACCTTGCCAAGTTTGCTATCCTAGATCATCGAGTCGTGCCGCCTTGCCGCCGTTGGTCACCCAGCTCGGTGGCACCGCATCGCTGTCGCTTGCCGTTGTGGCTCACTCGCATGCTATTGCCTGTGCGCAACCACGTGCGGTGGTGCGATAGTGGTCGGCTGCTACGTGCGGTTTTCTCGGGTTGCATATAGGGTCTGGGCGAATTGGCTACCTTGTGATATTTTGTTGTATAACAAATAACCACTCTAATCGTCTTGGTGGCTAATTTTACGGATTTTCTGAACCTCTCACAATTCACACAGTTTTACCGTCTTTTTACTTATTTATTTTTAGCTTTCAGTTTTACTCAATGTCTACTCATGTTTTCTTATGTTGTGTGTGTGTTATTATGTGCTTGTAGGCTAGGGTCATGGTGTAATTATAGGCAACAACAGGGACCCAAATGAGGTGCTAAATCTGACTTTCCTATAGTGTGGTCTCAACTGTGGGTTTAGCTAAATCCATTCACACTTGAATAATATTTCATTCTACTAAAGAAATATTATTGATATCATCATTTAGCCCCCGATTTACATATAATTCATCTCCTGATTAATTGCTCATGTTTTGAAAAAAAGATTAATTGCTCATTTTTTTCTTGGGGAGGGGGGATTGAGGTCGGATCTCCAACCTGTATATAGTGAAAACCCTAAATGGGCCAAAAAAATCACCAGTCTACATAAGTCCCACCAAAATCGAAAGCAAAAACGAGAAAATGAAAAAAAAAACAACAGCCAAAAGAAAAAGTCTGAACCTAGGTTGATGTATGCCCAGGCAATAAGTCTGCTCCACAACGAGCGTCGAAGCACAAAAATGCAGGACGACTAATAGGATCTCAACGAAGAGTAACACACCTAGTTAATTGCTCAATTTACCTTCTGATGTTTGAGATCTATCATCCGTTGATTAATTTAATTACTGACAATAATCAACTTCTTGATCCAAAATTACTAACAATCAATTTATTATTATGATGGAACTTAATCTGCCTGCAAAACTTGACATAATAATCCTTATTGAGCTCATTTCGGGGATGCTATCAAATCAACATACTAGGACACGTTGACCGTAAATAATTTTAACAGCACATCATGTAATCAAATTATGTACAAAGATATTGAGTCTACTGACTTATAAATAAATCTCACTCTTGGAAAATCAAATAAATAATAACCGAATACATATGCCTGTTGATTGTCTTACTGGTTAATAAAATGCAACAATTACTGAGGTCGAGATTATTACTTGGTCAGACAAAACTAATCTTATCCTCCGTAGGCCTGTTCAATACATTCGAGATATGCTAGTATAATTCGTTAGTTCAAGACCAACTAACTCAAAAAACACACTACAGTCTTTCACAACAATTAGTCCAATCGTGTCAAGGTTGTGAACAAATAATTTATATTTTACTATGAACCGATAATATGATTTTATGTTCAAAAATTCGAAACATACTATCTACAATGTAAATTAAAAGAACAATGTTCACATAAATAAATAAATTGCAAACACAGATTTAACTAAGACATGAATCTCATTTAAAATGGAATTGTCAGTAAATAAAAGTCGAGATTTTACAGTATACCTTAACAGACAGTTAGTATACAGACGGTTAGTATACAGACAGTTAGTTCATTTCTATCTAGGTTGTGAACCATACTTTATGTTCTACAAGGAAAAAATAATATGATATTTTTTTCAACACAGTGAACCATATTGATCTACAATATAATAACAGAACTTACACACGTTTAATTAAATAGAATTTACAAGCCAATTTTGTGGCTATAGCTCATGGTTATCGGGAAGCCAATTTTGTGGCTGATTATTTAGCATCCTTGGCGGCGAGATGTCCGGGCAGTTTACAGAAATTGGCGTGTCCTCCTTCAGGGGTGAGCATGTGGTTGCATCATGATCGGTTGGGTGTCTCTCATCCTAGGGATGTCCTGACTTAGGCGATCTCGATCTTGCCTCCTTTCTTGTACCAAAAAAAAAAAAAAAGAAAAATAAAACTTACAAGCGTTTAATAGAACTACATTACCAATTTGTAAGTACCATTTCCTTTCTTGTCATTTATTTTTCTCTTTTATTTGTAACTTTACTTGTATTCATTTGTAAATGTGGTCGAAATTGTTAATTGCCAAGGAATTTTTTCCCTCGCATATTTGTATTACACCATCGTAGACAGCTCAACAGAAGACAACAATCATGAGAGACTTTTTTTTTTTCCAGAACGATATAATTACTCATAAACAAAAACAAGAATACAATCAAAGTTCAAGCCGAGAACATGGGAGAACCACACGCAGGTGGCCTAGACAATAACAACAAACCCATACTAACTACACATATAGCTAATGGGATAAAGCAGATGATCACACTGAACCTTTACACCATTAAAACTACATACAGCTAGCCCAGAATAAGACAAAGAAGAACCAAAGACCAGCTACTGATCTAATATCATAGCTGGGAGAAAACCAAACAAAGCAATACACTAAAACCAAAATAAACCAAAAATAACACAACCCTACTGACCCATGCTGTTAAGAAAAGCTTGCCAATCACCCACAGCCAACTTAACAATGAGGGGAGCAGGTCTTCTAACTTTGTCAAACATCTACAAATTTCGAGATTTCCAAAGCCACCATAGAATATACGTAGACAATTGGATTCTAGCGTCGGAAACCTCGGATTTATCAAGCTGACAGACTTGCCACCACCACTTTTTAAAGGTATCATGCTGCTTGGGGCCTTCTCAATGAACTGGTGCAAGCTTCCAAACCATTTGAGCCTGGCTACAGTGAAAAAGCAGATGCTCCACAGACTCTGAGTCCTTCCCACATAAACTGCAAGTAACATCAATGTCCAAACCTCTGCAGATCAAATTCATATTGACAGGCAAGGAACAGTTACAACACTTCCACAAAAAGTGCTTAACCTTCCCCATCACTTTCAACTTCCAACTCCTCTCCCTGATAAGAATGTCTCTGGCCAGATCCTTACTACCTTGTGCAGACTCCAATCTCAGAAATTTATCAGTAATGAGCTTAGCATAAGTTGATTTAACAGAGAACTCACCTTTATTGCTGAGGCACCACACCCATCTATCTTCTCTCTGAGGATGAATGGTATTGATCTTGAGCAC